AATATTGTATGTTATACAGAATAAAATATGATATGGGGAAACAAAACAGGATGTAATTTTACCTTTACGTCTCATCATATCATATACAAACCTGAATTTTTTCAGACAAACAAAATTTTGGTTATAATCATCTATAATTTCCACTGTAAAAGAGAACAAACCAGATTCCATCTAGTGGAGGAAGAAATCAAGAAGAAACACTGGAAGTGGATAGGAAACACATTAAGGAAATCATGCAACTGCGTCACAACACAAGACCTCAAATGGAATCATGAACGCCAAAGGAAAAGACAAAAACCACTGAACACATTACGACGGGAAATGGAGACAGACATGAGAAGAATCAAGAACAATTGGATAGAAATAAAAAGGATGGCCTGGGACAGATTGAGGGGGTTGGGGAATACTTGTCGGCGGTCTATGCTCGATTGGGAGTAACAGGCGTAAGTAAATAAGTATCTGTAATTTCACAAATGACAGTAAATAATTCCTCCTGCAACACTTTCAGGGTTACTGTTCAATCCCAAGACCGCGTAAAAAGTGGAAGATTAAGTATAGATGTAGTGAACCAAACACTAGTTGGGGACAATCGAATGTATTTAAGCAAACATTACAGACTACCTCAGTAAATTCTGATTACCAAACAATGAACAGTCAATTCGCAAATTAACAACCAATTGTTTCAATCTTCACTGTTTCTCCTCTTATTCCATTGCTCATGCATTTTCCAAACGATTGCGCTTCATTTCAGTTCTTTGCTCATCGGTCTTCTGCGAAAATACATTCTATGTCTGACCCACACCATATACTACTTATATAGATATAAGTAGACCACACCACATAGAGTCATCATCTCCATCCCTCAGAAAACAACCTTTCTAGAAAGTATTAACCAGAATAAGTATGACTATAAATAATATGAAACATTTGATTTATTTGATCACCTAATTTAAGGTTGAAATTGTATATGAACACATTTAGCCATCATAGATTATTTATCAACAGTTCAAAGTTAAATAATGTAACGTATAACTTGGATTTTAAAAATGAACTGTCAATATTCACTTAGTATTGTTTGTTTGAATCTTCCCACTGATGTTTAAGATTGCAACTGATCAGTCTCTTATTGACATATGTGCATACTGTGCGTTTTGACATGATATAATCTTAATTCACAAGCACTATAAGCAAATATGGATAGTGGCTAGCATTGGAATCCAGGAAGATTCAAACTAACAGTACTAAGTGAATTTGAATTAAACCCAATTGCACAAGCAAAATGCAATCAGGACTCAGTAGCCGAATGGATAACGCGAAAGCGTTTGAAGCGAAAGTTACTGGGTTCGAGTCCCGGATTGAACATCAACTCTGAGATGAAGGTACATCCATCTGATGAGTCCCAAATAGAACGAAACACACTTCCTAAATTCTACAGCTAGCCACTATTCATATTTGAATTGTTAATAGTTTAAACTTATATAATAATTTTGTTCTTTCCGCGGAAATTTATCATTTAAAAGAAACAAAAACTACAATGATAGTAAGATAAACTAATATCTTTGTATTAAGGTATACTCTACTCCTCTTCATATCAATGGATAAATCAATTCGGAAAAGAAAATCGAATTTTCTATTCTCGTCAAATGAATAACAGATAGATAAGAGAAAAACAGAGTTTTCATAAATTATAGATGAGAAAATCATGAAGCGGAGTTATTTTAGACAAAAAATGAAATGGATAATGTTTTTATCTTTCAGAACATAATCCTACTACTATATAAAGTAATGTATTATTCAAAACAGATATGTTGCTGATCATCATATGATGTGTGTGGTACTCATGTCAAAAGATAATAAGTAGTATGTGTCATCGATCGAAGTCAGTAACTTCAAGCATTGGTATAACGTTTTGGTTTGGTCCCCCCCCACCTAATCGAAAGTGAAATGTCTGAAGGTAGAAGGTTAAAGAGATCGAAGAAAAGAGAACAAGAACAGAGAATGATTGATATGGAAATGAAAGAACAACGAAGTCTGAGACAATTGATTGACATTTTGTAAATGAAATATTTATGGTATGGTTTTCAGATTTTACTAAGATGTTCTGCAAGTTTGTATTCAAATACATTCAATCTCCCGCAACTGTGTTCTCGTTCACTACAGTCATATCAACAATAAGATGTTTGTTAAAATCTTAATTTTTAACATCATTACTACTTAAACAGTGTACTATGATTTCTCGAGAATTTTAAATTCTTACAGTCTAAAGTTGTGGGGACGGCCACTGGTGCATTCAAGGAAGCTCAAAAAACGAGACAAAGAAATTCCATCCAATAACTGTTTGGAAGAACATTCCAGAATCTTAACGTGTACCTTCCTAATTGAACAAATGCCAAATGCCATTGCAAGCGGATTGGATGACTATGATGATGATTTTGCTTTTACTAAAACCTATAGATTTCTGAGAGTTTTATACCATATTTGCCACTGTTTGAAATAAGATATATTCTCACTCGTCTTCTATGTTGTCATTTACGACTTTGAGTGCCAATGTTGTACACGGTATAACAAGAATAATATATGTTACACATATAACCAAAGTTATTCAAGTACCTGAAGACAGTGCTTGGATTCATAAAGGGATCATATGTATCAGGCATATTGTTTATTTCCTTGAACTATTGAAGATAGTTTTTTTTAAACAAATACTTCATGATATACTGAATATAGTTATTATGAATATCCAGTTACAATCTTAGATTTCAAATATTTCAGTATTATCTATATATGGGTGTAAATAACTCAAAGAATAATCATTTTATTCAAGTCTCAAAGTGAAAATCAACTTTGTGATGTAAGTACATTTAGATGACGAATCCCAAAATGGTACGAAATATGCCTCCTGGATTCAACTATTAGTCATTATTAATCTCTGATTATAATACTTAATATTTAAAGTAATATCTAGGAAATTTTCATAAGATATACATATACTAATTATAGAAGGGGTTTTGTGGAGATTTAGTATTTATTATAGTTGTAAGCGTGAGTCAATTGAAGCTAGACCACCATGGAAAACCTGCAAGCACTGGATCTATTATGGGACTCCTCAGCAATGCGCATCCACGAACCCGCTCTCGCGAGATTCGAACCCAGGACCTACCAGTCTCGTGCCGAAGCCCTTACCCGATAGACCACTGAGCCCACCGGCATCCAACGGTGTTAATGTCTAACTTCAAATGATCCACGAAGTTGAGCAACCATTCACCAATTGTCTTCACTGAGATCCTATCTCACAACAGACGTGGTAGGTCCTGGGTTCGAATCTCGCGAGAGCGGATTCGTGGATGCCCACTGCTCAGGAGTCCCATAATAGATTGAAACGGCCGTCTAGTGTTTCCAAGTTTTCCATGGTGGTCTAGCTTCAATTGACTCACGCTTTCAACATAATATATACATATACGAATAAAATAAACTGATCAATAGGAAAATTCAAACAATCTATGAAATATACTTAGTACTGTTTGTTTGAATCTTTCCATTTATGTTTAGGACTGCAACCGGTCATTCTCTTATTGACATATGTGCATACTGTACGTATTGCATCGATATAGGCTTAATTCACAAGCATCATAAGAAAAGATGGATTGTGCCTGGCGGTGGAATCCAGTTTGACGCGCGTTTCGTCCTATTTGGCACTCGTCATATGGGCGTGACTGCATCTCACAGTTGATGTTCACTCTGGGACTGGGTTTAAGTCTCAGATAAAAATATTCGTCAAGATTAGAAAGAATAGCTTGATAAAAATTAGGTACCGATTATAGAGAAGTCATTATATGTGAAAATTATAATTGAAATAATCTCAGCAAATGAGATTTGAAAATAATTCAAACGTTTCGTTCAGTTAACTTGTCTGGACTTCTCCAGGGTAATAATCAAAATCCGAATCATCAAAGAAATATGTAGTGATTCTTCTTTAACAGTCATGTCAAAATCTATACTACGTTGAACCAATCATATTTGGATGTTGAACTTTTGTAAACCGGATAATATGAATCAGTTGAGTGAGAATCGAGAGTTCTTTTAATTCATCCTGAAGAAGTCCAAACAAGTTAGCTGGACGAAACTTTGGAATTTTTCTTAAATTTTAATCGCTCTGATTATTTCAAATGTAATTTTGATACATAATAATCTACGAAATACATTTAAATTTTCCGAAAACATTTTACCAGATACAACACAGCATGCACCAATCGAATTACACATGACGGAAAAAATCTTGAGGATGTGAAAACATTTACACATCTTGGCAGCATCATTGATGAACACGGTGGATCTGATCTAGATGTGAAGACGCATATCGAGAAAGCAAGAGCAGCAAATTTACAACTGAAGAACATATGAAAATCAAAACAACTGTCTGTCAACCAACACCGTGATCAGAATTTTGAATAAAAATGTCAAGACAGTTCTATGGTATGAGGCAGAAGCCTGGAGAACTACGAAAGCCACCATCCAGAAGATACAAGTGTTTATTAACAGTTTCCCACGCAAAATATGTCGGATCCGTTGACCATACACTATCAGCAACAACCTAATGTAGGAGAGAACAAACCAAATTGCATCCAGTGGAGGAAGAAATGAAGAAGAAGCGTTGGAATTGGATGGGACACACATTGAGGAAAGCACCTAACTGTATCACAAGGCAAGCCCTCTCATAGAATGCTGAAGGTTAAAGGGGAAGAGGAAGACCAAAGAACACATTACGTCGAGAAATGGAGACAGACATCAGAAGAATGAACAATAATTTGATAGAACTAGGAAGAATGACCTAGAACAGAGTGAGTGGGTTGTAGAGTGCTGGTCGGTGGTGTATGCTCGATTTCGGGGAGGAGGTAACAAGCGTAGGTAAGTAAGTAAGTACCTTATCAAACTTCTAGTTCGAACTACATAATCCCTATTACTTTATAAAAAGAAAACGATAATTAGAATAGTTAACTTACTTGAAATCTATCAATAGCAATTGCAGTTATACTAAATGTTGATACAAATATATTAGTACCTTGAAACATTGATGAAAATTTACATAAAAATTGTCCTAATATCCAATTATAATTACCATTTAATAAACGTATTAAATTAAATGGTTGAGTAATTAAACATAATGTTAAATCAGATATAGCTAAATTAAGTATAAATAAATTACCACGTGTACGCATTGAATATTTTCTTAAAATGATATAGATGATTAAACTACTACTGATTATACCAAATATAATCATAATAAGGAAGATTAAGATAATAATGATTATAAGTAGTATAGGTATTTTAGATTGATTTTTTAATTCATTAATTTCTTCCCAATATATATGTAATAATTCATCACGTATTGTATTATTTATTATTTGTGTTGAATAATTAAGATATTTATATAAGGTTGTATAACATCCAGTGGATATATCACACATTACTTAAATAATTAAGGTAGTAGTATGAGTAGTATGAGTTGTAGTTATGATAGTAATAGTAGTAATAGTAGTAGTATCTTTCTTGGAATGAGAAAGAAACAACAACGGTGATTGACAATTAAATAATAATCAGTCTACAAGGTTCTACAGGTTTGTTTTATATATTTAAAATTACTGATTAAAAAAAACCAAAAAAAAGAAATGGCTAATTTCTATTGGTTGAAATATTCCTGTGATTTGATTGGTCGAAAAAATTATTGAGATAATATTATTTTCAGAAGGGGTTTTTTTTGGTGGAGATTTAGTATTTTCATAGTTGAAAGCGTAAGTCAATTGAAGTTAGACTACCAGGGAAAACCTGGAAGCACTGGATTGCGTTTAATCCTAGTATCGGACTACTTATTAATCAATCAATATTATTATTATTAGCTTTATTCAATATTATATTTTTGGCACAATATAGAATTTTCAGCACAAAGTACTTCAACAAGTCTCCGTTTCTTACTTCTTTGTCCTTCCTGATGATAAATATTGAATGATCGCCAGCTAGAATTTAAAAGCCCAGTCAATCGACATCTGGATAATGTACATTCTTCTCGCTGCATATTGTCAGCAACCACGATATTTCTGATTACGCCTTCTGTAACTTTTACAGCGAAAGGTCTTACATTTTTCAGAAGCGCACCTGAATAGGTTGTGCGATTAATAGGCATAATGATGCATTGAAACAAACAAAACTAGATAACTTATTGAAATATCTAGATGACAGGAACAGGTAGCCCAGATGTTTAAACAGGCCGCCGCCGTCAAACCCAGAACCTTCGGTCTCTCTTGGGAAAGTTTGATATAGTGCAGGCGTACTATTGATAATATTTCAAGTTGGGAATGATTACTTGGGTGTTAGTTCAATTGTCGCATACGGGATCGTTAACACTTATTACTAAGTAGTCCGATACTAGGACTAAGCGACAATCCAGTGCTTCCAGGTTTTCCATGATGGTCTAGCTCTGATTGATTCATGAATTCACCTAGTAAATTAATAAAATCTCCATAAATCCTCCTTTCTGTTAGAATATTCTGTTTATCTTTCCTTTATTTGTTAAAATAAATTATAAATCAAAATATGAAACCTAAAAAAACGAAACGGTCACAAAAATGAAATATCATTTTACTACAGATTTTTCTATTCTTCCATTTTGAAATCTTATATCTAGCATAAACTTAATTTTATAATACATATTCATTTGTTGAATAATATTTTTAGTAATTTAATAGTTTAATTCTTAAGTTCATCAAAACTAGATCACTGTAGAAAATTTAGAAGCACTGGATGACCGTTTCGACCAAGTATGAGATTCCCCAAAAGTGCTCATCCACTATCCAACTCGTGGGATTCGAACCCAAAACCTTCTGTCTTGTCCCCAATTGCCTTGATACAACTGAGAGTGGGGAGAGTCCGCTCTTTTTCTCCAAATGCTCTCATATGGCCACCTCTATTAGGGAAGTCCTACTCACTGCCTTCGCGTGTCCACAGTGTTGTTTACGAAATTGAGAGGATGAAAAGCGAATGTTCGGCGCTTTAAACGAGTTGGTGGACACGGTGAGTCCACGTAGGGGAGTTACAATACTCTGATTCCAAGTCAATGGTGCACATGAGCTCCAGTATCCTTAGGGAACAAATATCATATGAACCAATTGTTGGTCAGTGGCTACCATGAGACTGCATCTTCTTACGATGCTTTACTATCTTGTTAATCAGACCTTTAAGTCAAAGGCTCCGAGTATGGCCCCTTAGGAAAGCCACCTGCCTCGGTTTTATTTAATTTTATAATGTGGTTTCGGAAATTCGAATTTCTTGTTTTCGCGCCAAAAGGGCTTATTTTCTTTTTTTAGAATTGTATTTCCCACTTGGTTTGTTGACACTTTTAATATGCTATTTTCTAAAGTTCCTCAAAGACAATTTTATGCTGTATATATATGCTTGAGTTGTGTTCTTGTTGTTGTATGTTCTCTTAGCTAAACCTGAACATCTCTTTCTATTTAGCAGAGCTGTAACGCATTGAAATAGTTTAGCTTTCTTGTCATTGTATCGTTGATCTTTCGTCCCGTTCTTTGATTTAGATGATCTTGTAATCTCTTCAAACATATAACATGATAATGAATACTTCATTATCATAAATGATCTAACCGATGTATATATATATATATCTATTGTAATAAACTAGACATTCAGAAGCTAATTTATCAGGAGAGTTTGATGTACCTAAGAAATAACTTCAGTTTCCAAAACTACACAATTTGTCTTACAAAAATCCAGGCAATGACAAATATATTACTAACAAAAATAATGATGATATAAACTTTGTTTACAAATTCACTTAGTATTGTTTGTTTGGATCTTCCCATCGATGTGTTTAGGACTGCAACTGGTCAGTCTCTAATTGGCATATGTGCATACTGTGCGTATTGCCTCGATATACCTTAATTCACAAGCATGGTAAGCAGAGATGGATAGTGGCTAGCTGTGGAATCCAGGACGCGCGTTTCGTTCTATTTGGGACTCGTCAGCTGGATGTACCTGCATCTCAGAGTTGATGTTCACTTTAGGACTCAAACCCAGTACCCTCGCGTCAAACGCCATCGCGTTATCCACTCGGCAATACGCACAGTATGCACATATGCCAATTAGAGACTAACCAGTTGCAGTCCTAAACACATCGATGGGAAGATCCAAACAAACAATACTAAGTGAATTCAAACTTCACCCCATCGCACAAGCAGGTGGCTATCAGGACTCAGTGGCCGAGTGGATAACGCGATGGCGTTTGAAGCGAGGGTACTAGGTTCGAGTCCCAGAGTGAACATCAACTCTGAGATGCAGGTACATCCAGCTGACGAGTCCCAAATAGGACGAAACTCGCGTCCTGAATTCCACAGCTAGCCACTATCCATCTCTGCTTACCATGTTTGTTTACAAACATTTATTATGTTTAACGTTTAAATCACCTTCCACTTAGTGTTGTTTACTTGAATCTTCCTTTTGTTATTTAGGATTGCAATTGATAAGTCTCTTGTTTACATATATGGATCGTATGCGGACTGCCTCTATATTGCTTTACAATTCCTAAATTCCTACAATTCCTAGATTTCACTGCTAGCCATTATCCATCTTTGTGTAATTCACTTATGTTTTAAATTCTGTTGTTTTACCTACAGAGTATAAAATTATTTTATAAAAATTTTGTTGAGTCTTCATTTACATCTTTATATTAAGTTGTCCTAACATTTTGATACTTTGTCAACAGTGAAATTTAATCCATAATTGAAGTATCTTGAACAACATTGATTGATTAATATACTTAACAACATGATATTGTATAGTTGAAATCATGAATCAATTGAAGCTTGAACACCATGGAAAACCTGGAAACAGTGGATGGCCGTTTCGTCCTATAGTGAGAATTCTCAATAGTGCGCAACCATGATCCCATCTCGCGAGATTACAACCCATGGTTCAAACTCATGATTTCAACTGTATAAAATTATTAAAATCTCCACAAAAACCCCCTTCTTATAACATAATATTGTTTTTGAAGATTATATATTGTATGTGTGTATACGCAAGATACTCAACATTTACTGGTCAGATACTATCAGCAACAGCGTTTTATGGGAGAAGATAAACCAGCTACCAGCTGAAAAGAAAATTAGGAAAAGACGTTGGAAATGGATCGTATATACAATACGGAAATCATCAAACTACATCACGAGGCAAGCCCTAGCTTGGAATGGTGAAGGGAAGAGGGTAAGATGAAGGCCAAATAATACTGGCAGGAACTGGAAAGGGTTGGTTAGGACAGAGTTGGATGGTGAATGTTGGTAATTGGCCTATGCTCCTTCACGAGGGGTAACAGGCGTAAGTAAGTATACTGTTAACAAAATAATCAAACTGAATAAAATAGATTTGTGTTGATTCCGATTAGGGGATAGGAAGACAGCTTTCATCTTTACATTTATGATGGCTTATAATTGTAATAATTTACATTCTTTTTGTTGTTAGAGAAACTGGCTAGTAGGAAATTAAGGTCTTCTCTTTATGGACACAAGATAACCTTAAATTTGCCTTGATAATCTTTAATCTATTTTAATCCATGCAATCATATGACATAATACTTTTAATATTCTATCATCTTTCTATCTATTTCCTGTTTCCAACTAATGGATGGTTTGTTTGGATTGTATTCAAGTGACTTTCCTTATTTTGCATAGATATGTTTTCAGTTTTTTTTGTTGAAACGTGTCCAAATGAATGAAAAACGCAAGTTCTCTTACATTATTGACATTTATTAAAAGGACTACTTGTCTTAATTTGGTATGGATTGTTCATTTTGAGATGAATGTTTCATAAATAAAAGATATCAGATGATAATCATTAATAAAACAGTTGGCATTTGACACGTATTCCATGTCAAACTAGAAATTTACTAAGAATCTAACCTAGAGACTTAAAGTAAATAAAACAGTAAACAACACTAAGTGAATTTAAAACTTCACCGCATTGCACAAGCAGGTAGCTATTAGGACTCAATAGCTAAGTGGAAAACGCGATGTCGTTTTAAGCGAATGGTACTGGGTTCGAGTCCAAGAGTGAAGGTCAACACTAAGATACAGGTACATCCGGCTGACGAGTCCCAAATAGGACGAAACGCGCATTCTGTATTCCAATTCAAATCACTATCTATCTTTCCTTATTAATTTTGTGTTATGACATTATAAAAAATAATAGGACGTAAGCTAATGCGTTATTGATTTTATGTCCGACTTTTTCACGTGAATTATCCATCAGTCAAAATACGACTTTTGCATTCTTAATACTGTGTCAAATCAATGACGTTCAACTGGTATGAGCAATCTAGCGTCGTTATTAGTCACTTGTCCACCTAGCCCATCCACACCAATTACAGCTTCTGCTATACGAATCATTTATTTCAAACATACTC